AGCTGTGGTGCTGGAGAAGAGTATGGAGAATACCATGGACAAACAGATTCATCCTGGAAAGGGTTAAAGTGGGTGGCTCCTTGGAGCAAGGATTCTGAGGCTCCGTCTAACATACTTTGGACATGTTGTAAGGAGAGACCGGTCCTTGGAGAAGGACATCATGCTTCGGAGGGTGGAGGGACAGCAACAGAGGGGAAGGTCCTCTATGAGGTGGATTGATTCAGTGACTGGGATAATTGGAATGGGAGTGTCAGAGACAGTGCGACTGGCACAGGACAGAGTAGAGTTTAGGGCTGTTGTACATAGGTCACTATAAGTCGCTAGCCACTCGATGGCACATAACAACAACAACAACATGGTCAACTTATTTTTGACAAGGAGATGAAACCAGTTAAGTGGGGAAACGACAGCCTTTTTAACAAATGGTGTTGGCAAAATTGAAAAACTGTCTGCAGAAGTCTCAAGCAAGATCCACACCTCACTCCATACACAAAACCCAACTCTAGGTGAATCATGGACCTAGAACTACAACCAAGGACTATAAACGTCATTAAAGGAAAGTTTGGAAGAACTCTAGAGGTCTTGATCTACAACATAGCGCCTTCTAAGCATCCTGAAAAAATCTACAACCAAGAGAAGATAAAATATATGAATGGGACCTTCTAAGAATCAAATACCTATGCATATTCAAAAACTTCTCCAACAGGGTAAAAAATGGAAGACACAGGCTGGGAAAAAGTATTTGGTAATGACGTCAGATAAGGGACTTATATCTAGAACTTACAAAGTAATTGAACACCACAACAAGATCAACAATCCAATTAAAAAATGGGCACAGGATATGAACAGACACTTCACCAAAGAAGACTTTCAGATAGGCAACAAGCACATGAAGAAATGTTCAAAATCCCTAGCTCTAAGAGTGATGGGAATCAAAACAACTATGAGATATCATCTCATCCCAGTAAGAATAGCAAAATTTAACAGAACAGCAAGCAACAAATGCTGGAGAGGTTGTGGACAGACTGGAACCCTTATTCATTGTTGGTGGGAGTGTAAAATGGTGAAACCACTATGGACGGCAGTATGGCGCTTTCTCAGAAAGTTGCAAATAGATTAAGGTCCCAATGTGGAATGTACTTAGGGTGGTGGGAGGGGTGTGGGGGGATTGTGTACCAGGGAAGGAGTGTTTCTTTTACTTTTGAAAGAGAGGAGTGAACTGGGGGGTGGGGGGGAGTGATGGGTGGGGAGAGAAGTATAGCAATGAATGAATGGAAATCCAAAATCTCTGTAAATGCTCATTAAAATTATTTTTTTAAAAAAGTTGCAAATAGAAATACCATTTGACTCTACAATTCCACTACTAGGAATATACCCTGAAGAGACCATAACTGTCAACCAAGCAGATACATGCACACCCATGTTTATCATGGCTTTGTTCACAATAGCAAGGAGTTGGAGACAACCTAAGTGCCCATCAACAAATGAATGTATAGAGAAGCTCTGGTATATTCACACAATGGAATACTACACTGCATTGTAAAACAAGGACTCATATTATTCAAAATGGGTGACGCTGGAGGACATTATGCTGAGTGAAAAACTCAGTCACAAAAGGACAAATACTGCATGGTGCCACTGTTGTAAAACAGGACTGACATAGGGGTTGGGGAGAGACTGAGAAAGATGGGATAAATAATGTATACTGCATTGAAACACATGAGGGAGAAAACTTTTTAAAAGGGATATGTGATTACGTATTACAGTCATGACAGGAGTCCAAAATGAAGGCTGCATAGTGGAGTGGATCTGGGGGGGAGGGATTGTAAAACAATGAAAGAATTTTTCTTTTACTTTTCAAAGAGAAGAGTGTACTGGAGCGGGGAAGGAGTGGGCAAAGAGAAAAGTGAAACAATGAATGAATAGAAATCCAAAGTCTCTCTAAATTCTCATTAAAATTAATAATAAA